GATATAATGCGTGGTAAATTTGCATCGAAAATACAAGGCTACAATAAGGCAGTTGGATTGGGAATAATGGGAACGGGAATTCCCATTCCCATCCCGGTTCTAACTGTAATTAGTTCAGTGCGTCCATAAATGGTTAGCGCTGTCAATCTTTGGGAAATTTGGGAAATTCCCGACCCTTCCCAGTGGGAAATGGGAATGGGAAAAAGAGTTGGGACTAAGGTGCCCATTTCCCCACCCTACCCGGCCCGAATGCAACTAATGAGAATGCTTGTGGGCGTGTCTGCTGGTAAGCAGCCAAGAAATCAACCTTATTGATATGATTGATCTCTAGCTGCATAGCAGTTTGAACCCGCTGGCCATAGAGATGTTTCAATGGCCCAAAACAAGAAACATCAGGCAGCTGAAGAAGATGTGATGAATGTGGAGGTAGAGAAAGAGGTATAATATGATTCTTTGTACAGAAATGGTCAAAAGCAGCAGTTGCATGGCTGCCATGACCAAGGATCAGAAGCCGGTGGGTGCCGATTGTACGCATTTTAGTATGTTTTCGAAGACCTCTTTGAGCCAGAGCTCTCCAAGCTTATCATTTGTCCATCCATTCTCACTGACTCCAATAACCAGTCCTCAGGTATATGTTGATGCCAAGTAGATTTGTGCTGCTTGCCAGCAAAGATAATCAATGAAGAAGACAGCCTGTTGAGCCAATGGCCTCAATGACAGTCACCCATTCACGATTTCCTGGTTGTATGGCTTTTGCACGGCTTTGAACCTGAGAAGTAATGACCTGATCATAATTAACATATATTCAATGATCACTATATTGATTACTGGGGGCATACCTTTGCAGTAGATGTCATTCCTATGGAGAAGCCAGTCTCATCAAAGTTATAGATATCCTGCTCAACAATGCCATATTTTGCAGCATCCTGAATGCTTGGAATTTGATTTTTATTCAAAGCATCAATAGCAAGCAACATTCTACCTTTCTTGTTGAATAGCTGGATTTGGTATATTGGAGGGCATGTTGGTGGTTGAATTTGATGGAACGAAGAAGTTGGCGGACGAGCCGCTCGCTCAGTGTCCGATTACGTTATAGGCTACTTGCTCATATATTTGAATGATATCATAGTATAGGCTTCATATTAGAGGATATTTAAAAATCATATACTATGTCATTATGCTAAAAAAAAGTAGATATTTCGGTTTTCAAATCAATATAGCCACTTGCTTAGGTATGATAAACAACATGCATTTGAAATAATTAATAGATATTCTAATACTGTATACAACAATACTAGTAGTTGATGAGATGCTTGAGATAACTCAGGAATCGACTGTAGATGAGCATTTGCTGTAAATTTAGAAAGTAGATAACTAAACTGTATGAGATAGCCTGCTGTTGAAGAGGAACTAATTATTTTTATCTAATAATAGTTCTAAGCTATAGAATATTCCACGGGCGAGCGGCGCTACATTTATTTCCATTCAAATGGCTATACTGCCCATGATTAAAAAAACATCATGTCCAAAAAGCAATCTGCCAAGGTGTTTGGGGTACCTGAACCCATTCTTCGTGAGCTCCTTAAAACCGTGCCCAGAAATACGCGCAGATAATCATATTATCATCTATCCAAAAGTGCAAGCTTGTTAGAGCAAGTTCTAGTGCAGACAAATATGATTTTGCAATTATTAGCAGTCAACTGGGCATTTACTATTGTTAAACGCCATCCACCACTGCATATACGATTAAGTCGACAAATAACATACTAGCGGGCAAAACAGGAGTATCCGAAAAATTTAAGATAGTGGTTTAATCGGCTATTAAGAGATTATTCCATGAGCATGGGTATCTATGATAACATCTCAGATTTTGATGAGACTAGCTTTACAATAGGTCTGTCTCCGTACAAGCCTTTTTAAAGGTTTATCACTGCAATTGAGCGCAGTGAGAGACCATGTACAGTCACCTATGGGAACTGTGAACGAGTTAATGATTTAAATTAGAAGATCAAAGGGTGTTCAACCCCTCCTGCGATGAAATCTTAAAGGGAAGCGGCGTCAAGATTCTTGGTGCTGAAAACTCTTACCTTACTAGAGCAGTGCTTAAAATAATGGAGTCTTGGAGCAAACCCTGCCCCTGCCCAACCCTGAAGAACACTTAAAGTAGAAATTGCATTTCAAAACTACTATAGACATAATTGAATTGTTACACCTTTAATTTTAACAAATATATCTATAATATTTAAAAAATATCCTACACTAATAGAAATATATAAAATTAAAAGAACCTACAAAGCACTTTCTTATGATTAGCACTTGTTTTATCACACTTCAATATAAATTTAAGGGCTCAACAAAATGGATAATAAGTTAAAATCCAACCCTTTTGATTTTCACACTGAAAACCAATTAGATTTACAGAACTAATTAAGCCGTCAGTGCTACTAAGGTAATCTAGAAAAAAATACAGATAAATATATAGCCACCTGGATTAATCTGTCAATAGATATAAGTTTATAAATAGATAAACAAATAATAATTAATTATGTATGATTCATGTTTAAGATTATATAATCTTTGCCCAGATAACGTATTCCACGGGCGAGCGGCGCGTTTCTCCCCACGACCACCAAATACTTAACCACCAATATGCTTAAAATTTGGAAAAATCAGTAAATTAAGACTATCTAGTTATTTAACCTATAGTTATTTCCAGGGCAACTGCGTATAATATGTCCAATAGTCCCACAGCCACTACAGCGTGGTGGAGCTCGCTGGCGTGGCCGTTGAATATTTGCTTCGACCTCTGCTTCAACCACCATCAAACTGCTGAACATGCTCCTGACCTTCCTGTATAGATAACATAGTATCTTGACCTAGGTTACCATGCCTGCGTGCTTTCTTTGTCATCTTCCTCTCATTCTCTATCCGTAGAACTTGGATTTCTTGGTGAAGAAGTAGATTCATATTCATTGCCATCTGTGCAGATACAGGGCTGCTCGACAGCTGTCTTTACTTATTAAGACTTCTCTGTAGATCGTGGATATTATGATCATGTTGGCGAGTATTTTGAGGGGTCTGAAATGCAGATGATATTGACCGTTCAGTCAGAAGTGGTGGTGGTGTTGGCGTACGTAGTTGAAAGGTAATTTTCGAGAGAACCCTTTCTTTATCTAATGGTTTGATCCCTGCTCCAGCAAAGCCACCATAGATATTCTCTTTGGTAAAGGCCTTCTCGCGTGCAGATGGATAGAGAGATAAGAAATCATCCTTATCAATATGGTTGTTGCCAGCGATCATCATTCCTTCAACTAGCTTCCCATATGCACGTTTTAATGGCCCAAAAACACCAACATCTAGTGGTTGGAGAAGATGAGATGAATGAGGTGGCATACAGAGACAAATGATTGCATGCTCTTTACAGAATCCATCAAACTCTGCACTTAAATGGCTACTATGGCCATCAAGTATAAGTAGCCGCTTTGAACCAACTGAATAGTGTTTGGAATATGGCTCAAACACCTCTTTAAGCCAGCGTAAGCCCATTATATCAGTAGTCCAGCCATTCTGACTTGTGGCTAGCCTCCAATCTTGAGAGGGCTGATCCTTGATACCAAGAAGCTTGATGCTCCTTCCCTTTGAGGATCACCACCGGAGGAATTGAACATCCATTTGACCCTATACATTCAATGATTGTGAACCCACTCGTGGTTTCCTTGGATGACTGTACGTGGTTGCTCACTGCGCTTAACTGCAGTAATAACCTTAAGAAATTGTACAGAGACCCATTGTAAAGCCAGTCTCATCAAAATTCCAGATATCATTTTCATGGATACTATGCTCTTGAATCATTTTTAATATCATATTAAACCATTGTTTGATGATTTTTGGATCCTCCTGCTTCTCCCGCTGGTGTGGTGTTCGTCGGTTAAACCGTGTCCGCAGTTGTGGATGGCGTCTAACAAAAGTAAATGCCCAGTTGACTCCTATGTTTGGAGTAGAGGTAGGGGTCTGTTTTTGAAGCAGTATCTGAGCCATCTGACGTAGGAACTCCAGACGAATTGGAAAACCACGTTTGTCTGCAATCAGTATTTGTTTAACAAGGACTTCTTGAATAGGTCATAATATATGATTATTTGCGCGTGTTTCTGAGCGTGGTTTTCTTCCCTTGAGGCGCTCGCGAAGAGTAGTTTCAAATACCCCAAACACCTTGGCAGTTTCCTTTTTTGAATTGATTTTTTTCGAATTATAGGCAGATATAGCCATGTGGATGTTAGATTCTTGAGATTTAGGCATTATGGATTGAAATAATGAAGATATAATGTGTTGGGGGAATGATTACTATTGCCTACCTTTACGTATAGGCCAGCTGTGTGTATATTCTCAAGTGTAAGTGAATAAATTTACAAATGCAGGATTTATATACTCTTTATAATCTAATGATATGCGGCCCTGGCACGCTAAGTGGAACATGGGTGCATTTGAATGCAAAAAGTACACACCAGTTGAATAACCCTATCGATGAATTTTACAAATACAAAAATACTAATATCCTTTAATTGGTTTTTTTATTATAAGAAAAAATTTTTGATTATAGCTGATTCTATCTGAGTATTAAGTTCTGAATTTCTGAATTTCTCTAAGATATCTCTTTGGCCACCTTTTTAATCATACAGGTTGAAGACAAGGTAGAGTTTCTGATATACTGTCATATCTGGATATCAAATTAATAAATTTAATTCAAATATTATACATTTTATAAAATATACATTTAAAATATTTATAGAAAAAAAATATCAGTAGTCAAACTCCTTGTATATATATTTGTATTTGAATGCAGCTCCGCCCGTCAGCACAAACCAAGTTGATGGGTGATTTAGGATGCTACCTCAAAGCAATTTACTTTGTATACACTAGATTATATACTCGGACATTAGTTGTTGCTCTAGCTAGTACCTTCAATAGGGTATTGATTCATCAGCCACACATGCTCTGGGTCAAGATCGGTTTCATATAGAGCTAATATCTAGACCTTTAATATAGCAAGCACTGTTTTAATTGAATATGTTGTCAGACTTTCACATTGAATAGGGATAACTTTATCAAAACCGGGAAGACTAGAGGATCCTGAACACTGACAGGCTCTACAAGAAATGAAGAATCTATATATTAAATTCGATCAGTTTTTAGCAAGAACTGGTGGTTTTAGGGGTATGAAGTTCTGGCCACTGTACCAGATTCAGAATGCAGTAATTCAGCTATCAGAATTGTCACGTGTGGGTTCCGCTAGGATAATGGAACATCCTTTCCGTGGGTTCTATCTAGGTAGTCATCAATGAGAATAATCAACATGAAGAAAGTAACGCTGCAGGTCATCAAGGTTAATGATACCGCTTCACGTGACAGCCAACCAGCTGACCAGGGCGTCGCAAGAATACACTCTCAGAATTTGAGGCAGCCAGTTACCACTTCTATATCAGGCTAGCTCCAGATGTGGAGTTGTATTCGAATGCAAAAATATATGGTGGTTGATTACCCTACCTAATGTTATAACTATAAGTAGAAATCGTTATATATATCTGGAAAGGACTTGATATCGACCAATTAGAAGTATTCTATATATAACTATATCTAGATACTTTAGTAACCAGACAGTTGAGTAGGCATCGGCAAAAAGACCAATTTTTTCCGGTTCTTAAAAAGGTATATTAAGTATCCTCTATCATTTTCCTACACACAGTAGCACCATGTAAGTATGCAATGGGATATCAGATAGTTTCATGTAACATTATTATTTGTCAGGAAAACACATAATGCTTAGAATTTCTACTTTTTTGTCTTTTGCTCCCCGCAATTTAGTGAAGAGTCAAACGGTGTGGACTAGAGTAAAAATAAAAAAAAACTCATTGCGATCTTGATCTCCACATCAATCAGACATTCTCAAGAACCTGTTCCTTGAACTCCCTCTCAACCTTCTGGCCCTTGTCATCAGTCGTAGATTCCCCGTGAAGGTTCAGCAAGGCTCCGAGATCAAACTTCGGGGACTTGAGGAGCTTGACCTTGCGGATGTGGACCTATAGATATATTAATATGAGCATAATAATAAACCGGACACTAAATAACATACGTTTTGCAAGGGATAAATTCCCTGGGTTGCCTTTTCAATCTCGCGCCCGATGACCTCAGGGATGAGCTTCGTTGTGAGCTGAGAGAGCGAGCAGCCAACCGCCTCACGTTGCATGATGTCGGTCATCTTCTTTCGGATGGCGCGGATTTGCGAAGATCGGGCGTATGTGGTCTTCTTGATTTGGTTCGGACGTCTCTTCGTAAACGCGATGGCGAACAGACGGACAAGGTATTCATCGGTAGTCTTAACAGTAACGTTTGCCTCGATGAGAGTCTGCCACTTGCGCACAAGCGACCGCAGTTTGTCGGTAGTGAAGTCCATGCCATGGAAGTTGGTCAGACAGTTCTTTCCTTGAACCTCATCCACGCGAAGCTTGACCTTGCGGAAAGCGTGGTCTTCGTCGTTCTGAAGATCAGCGAGCGACACTTCGAAAATTCGGCCCTTCAGAGAATCGTTGGCGTTCTTCAGACCGGTCGTACGGTTGACGAGGGTCTTGCCCACGCTGCAATTCGTCATTTATTAGCCTAATTCGGGTTGGAACAACCGTAGTACGAGGAAGTAAAACGTACTCGCGAGTCTGGAAAGTGGAAGGCGCCTGCTCTTTATTAATAAATGGTTGCCTTTTGTTCCATGAAAAAATAAAAAAAAACCCATACCTTCACAGAGTATTCATCCTTACGGGTGAATGGGTCGACGGTCCTCTTCTTGATGCCCTTCTTGCCCTTAGACAAGCGCTTGTTCCTGCATAAGGTCAATACTTGCGATACCCCTGTGATCCGATGTATGCACTCGACACCGTAAACACCGTAAAATCACAAACTATCGATGTTTGGGACTTACTTTCCAACAGCCATGACTGCGACTACGGTCTATCTTGCAATGCTTGAAGACAGACAGCTTTAGCGCACGTTTCGAGTCGAGTAAAGTTCCTGCTGGACCGACAGGTAGAGTGCTGGAAACTAAATCCCACAGAAAATTTCGGCTAAGCGAGTGTTGGCCCTACCTCTTTCTTACATAATCACCCTTGCTTTTCAGTATATCACGTGAGGATTCACCGCCCTCGCTTAGGCCCACCACTGACCGAAGTTCGCCGACCAATTAAGAATCGTGTACGGAGTACACAGAGTATGGAGTGTGGAGTATCACTTTGAAAGCCCTACTCTACGGAGTATATACATACGTACTGTACTCCGTAGTTTATTATTATTATTGTGAAGGATGAACATGTCAAGAACCACAATACGTCCTATACAAATGCTTTTTATAATAATCATCTGGTCCGCTACTATGCAATAAATCATCTCAATAATATATATACCACAAAATAACATTCTCTACACTGAACATACTACGTGATTGTACGGAGTATTCTACGTAGTATGACTTAGATAAGGAAGATGTCTCCACTTCTGTTGTCTCTTATGGTGAAGTGGGTATTGGGTGTATTAGCATCGTAGTATTGTTTATTATGTACTACTATTGTACTCCATACTACGGAGTATGTACCTCAAAATAATGAAGCCAAAGTATTCTATAGACACCCGTCAGAATGATGCGTTTGAGGAGAAATTATTTTCTTTTGCCCCCAGAAAGAATTCACAGAGAAATAACGCTCTAAGACGTTTAAAAGGAATATTAGCTCAAAACTCATAATTCATATTCATAGGGTCCACTTGCTCCCAAGCTTACCTAATCCCATACCCTCCCATACACCTTCCTGCCTCTACGGAAGAGTCCAATTATTACCTGCGTCAATTCTTCATCCATAATCGAAACCATGGTATGTCCCTTCGAAATCTGTAAGCTTGAACCGTACTTATATATTAATTTCATTATAGGGCAAGCGAAAGAAGTCGAGCAGACAACCACAGGGACCAAAAAAGGTGACTACTGCCAAATGGATCCATAATGAACTCTACTGACAGCGACATCAGAGAGAGCCCTTGCCTTCAACGTTCGCATGCTTGTTTTGCAATCACGAGAACTCTATTGTTGTTAAGCTTGACAAGAAGTTGGGTCTAGGGAATCTGTCTTGCAAGGTGTGCGGGCAAAGATTCCAAACCGGTATCAACTGTAAGCCATGTCATCTGCTTGACGACCAGCACTAACCCTATGTACTGCAGATCTATCCGCTGCCGTTGATGTATATTCTGACTGGGTGGATGCTTGTGATGCCGTGGCCAAAGACGCTGCTAACAAGTATGAAGAACGTGATGCTCATGGCATGCGTTTGAATGAGTATCCCATTTCCTACGAGCCGCGGGAGACTGGAGCAATTGTTGGCGAGAGTAGGAAAAATGACACCGATGATTTCTGATGTTGTGTTGATTATGGAGAATGGCGCATATGGTGAAGATTCTGCAGTTTTTGTTTCATTTTCTGGGATACTCTGATCTGATTTGATGTTATGATAGAAGTCAAGAAATAGCCTTAATAACCACAAAGAAAACTAAATCATGCGAATGAAAGACAGAACATAAACCAACATTTGTTAATGAAGGAGCATATCTCCGCTACTAATAAACTAACAAGTCCAACCCCATTGCATAGGTCAGGTTATATATGGTGAGAACAAAAGCCCAATGTTATTTACAAGGTGTAGTATCGGTCCCCGAAATCACCCAGACCTGGAATAATGTATCTTACAAAAAGTTAGAATCACCGTAGATTTCTTTGGCAAAGAGGGCGAACGAAGAGAGAGAAAAAAAAAAAAAAAAAAAAAAAAAAAAAAAGAAACAAAAGAGAAAGACGGAGGAAGGACTTACTTCTTCTCATCTAAGCCTTGATCAATGAATGCAGTCACTACTCTAAGTTTAGGAAAACGCTCGGCAAAATCCGCAACTCCAGACGGGCTTGCAATGAGGTTGAGGAAAAGAATATGATCTTCTGGCACACCCCTCGCCTTGAGAACTTCAACAGCGAGAGTAGCGGATCCCCCTGTGACGCATTAGAATTATGAGTGTTATATAGAAAGGTGAACCAACTATGTGGCATTGGAACCATACCTGTTGCAAACATTGGGTCAAGGAGCAGAACCCATCGATTAGCAATGTCAGCGGGAAGTTTGTCATAGAAAAGTTTCGGTTTGCACGTCTCTTCATCCCGCTGGATCAATATCTTCCCAATTCGAACCGATCGACAACAGTCTCTCAATCCTTGCTCCATCGCCTCCCCTGCCCTCATAATGGACACCCCACATATTTTACCCTCAAACTTGACTCCGAGATAGGCGCGACCAACTGGAGTTGTCACCGAGTGCTCCACAACAGGCAGATGGTTTAAGCCTTCTTCTACCAGCAGCCGAATAATTCTGTTCGAATAGAAGATGAAATCCGCACGTCCAGTCCGTTTATCTCTTATCATCCTGTCAGAGTCAACATATGTAGCAGCCAATAGCAAACAGTTAAGAAAACAAAACCAAAACTATCAATCTAAATGTTGAAACTTACGTTAGAAGGGCAATCAACTGGGGAGTTTGGGGCAATACATGAACGTTTTCGTATGATAAGCTCTTTGAAACTGTTGCTGTTGGTTTCTCACCCTCCGGTCTGTAAATTGGCCCTACACCTTGAGCAGGAGAAGGGACAGGCTCAAACTCAATGTCGTCCATTTTTTGATAGTAGCTTGCAGAAAAACAGAAGGATTTGACACCACGAAAGGCTGTAAATGCAAATGGTCCCAATCAGTTAGCAAAAGCAGCAGATGTTATGGGTTATTAATACTTGCAAAATACTGTTGTAGGCCTTTAAGAGAGAATATTGCTCTTATCTGGGCGCTGAAAAAGATAAGACGATCAGGCATCAAGTGGGGCAGTGTGTGTTCTGTACTTATATAGTACAGAATACTATATAATACATATATACCGCCACAAAAAAAAAAAAAAAACATGCAGCAGTATTATCCAACAGTGGTCAATTCAAATTGACAATAATTTGCATCAATGGTAATAGCTACATACGGTTGTTGTATGTCTGACTTTGTAATGTCTAATATTCTGCCGTGTAACAGTTAGAGAAATTGACCGCCTACTACACCGCCTTAACTTGGTTCTGTTTCTACATGATAGATATCATAAGTTTATGGTTCATCTTGATATGCAGAACTTCTGGTTTCGATATCTTAAAGTAAAACTCTGCAATGACAAAAGCATATCTAAGATGGACACTGCCTTTGCACTCTAGATCAACAACATCAAGTGCCTAATATACCACCATGGTTTTCGGCTAACCAATGACCTCATGTGGGCAAAATTTCGTGAAATTGGTATAATTCGGCTCCAACAAAATTTATCTACGTTTCTGGTCCTTATCATCTTTGTCCTATTTTGAACGCGATGCACGGTACGCAGCGGAGAAGCCACAAGCACAAGACTTATGGTAGATCTTCCAGGACCCAACGGTCCACTTACGAGGAGTCAGAATTCTACACCAATTCTCACGACCGGCAAGGAAATTCGAACATATCCCCCACGTCAGACTCACCTGAACTGCAACAGTTGAGGAAGATTGAGATCAGATATGCAGAAGCTAAAACCAAGGCCTCTGAAAGACCGGGCGATCTTTCGAGAAACCCATCTTTGACAGACGAATTTACCCACTGTTCCCGATCTTCCATGAAAGGCGAACCAGGTGCTGTCAAAAGAAAACGTCACAGGTCTTCTGTGGGAATCGATGCCCGTGGAATTAGCGTCCAGAATGACAGTCTCAGTGACGTGAATGCCAAGAGCGAAAATACCCCCACAAAGTCTGATAATATCAACTTCGGGTCTAAGAACCGTCTAAATCAAAGTGAAAAGTGGGACGGAACCAATGCGGCCCCAGGTTTCTCACCACAGTCTCAATCAAATATGAAAAGCGGCAATGGAGAAATACTCCCTCGGAAGAAGCTAGTGGATTTGCTAGATTCGGTCCACCCAACAGCTGAATCGCCATCTGCATCTTTTACTAGTGACAGTGGGTCGGACAGTATCACATGCACTTCGCAGTCTACTCTTACCGGGACGCGTGACATTATGCCCCAACGCGTTGAGGATTCTGCTACTGTACCGGGCTTGCGAGGTCCCCCGGTTACATATGCACACCAACGATCTTTTTTAAATGAAGTATATACGTCAAGTGATATTGAAGATAAAGATGCAAATACCAACTCGAAGAACCAACAGCTTGAGTCTAAGAAAACCTCGTGCTTCGACATGGATGCCGATGATGACACTGGTGCTGGCTCCGGGCCAATTCGAAGTATTCATGAGCTAAGACAAGCGGGTGATAATTCCCGCTTTCGAAGTGCCGTTGACTATATGTTTGAAGATATTACAAACGGTGACAGCACGAACTCTACGCGATGCAATGGTTTTATACAGCTGAGCTCGAAACTCTTGGACCGTCAATTTATCAATCGGTTCTCTGAATGTGGGTTTGCAGAAAGGCTTGTGGAGTATTTGAAGTACTCCACGAACGACCTCGACATTATCTCTGCTTCGTTTGCACTCTGTTCCATTGAGTTGGTGTTTTCGAGTGGCGCGTTTTCCCAAACGCATTTGGTCAGCATTTGGCCAAGTCTTTTGGATCTCTCCCCGAGGTTGATTGATGTGGAAGATGACATTCTGCTTCTGAGCAAGGCACGGAGCCATGGGGTGTCGAAAGCAGTACAAAAGTCTATACAGGAAACCGTGCCGATGTTGTCCAACCAGCTGCTACCAACGTTGAGTCCTCGCTCCCTAGCACTTCAATGTATCCGATCCGTTCTTTTGAATCTCCAGCAGCACAACAACACTATTGAGGCGATGCCTACCGCAATTCTGGAACGCTTAGTTTGTTTATTGATATCGATACATCATAATAGCATGGACTCGCCACTATCACCGGGTGATTGTCGAATGGTAATCACAATTCTGTCAATATTGGAAACGTACACACTTCTCTTGGGCCCTTTGCCTGTGGACCAACAGAGCACATTGAAGCCACTTACGCAGCTTTTCCATTTTCTTCAGCCGAAGGGATTCGATAGTCCCAATGATCCCAGCAGGCAAATACAATTCCATTATATTCGTCTCATGTTGAATCTCACCAACAATGAACCCTCGTTTTGCAATGCTTTTATTACGCCTGGTCTTGTCGGGGGTCTGATCAGCATAATAACCTCAGAATTCAACATGTCGCTTGAGGGAGGCGCAGCTGAGGAAAGAAACACATTGAACATGGTAATACTAGCTCTTGGGACTTTAATTAATCTGACAGAGAAAAGTGATATGGCAAAATCGATGTTTCTCACTGCGGAAGATCACTATACCTCATTTCTTCTTTTGCTCGTTCAAAAGTTTTCGGCTAATATCAACCTAATCACCGCGGTATGACAACCCGAGACTCCCAAAAAGCCTTTCTATTCTATTATTGTTCCCCCCCCCTCTTTGCTCTTTTCGAGTCCACATAGCATATTCTTGTTGTTTCTCTCCTGTCCCTATAAAGTCGTCTGCTGGAAAGCTGCTAATGGCAATAGATCCACCCTATTTATGATACGCACTACAATGTCGTTATTGGTTACTTGTCTATCCTCTTGGTCACGCTTTGTTTGAACCAAGAGGCATTTTCGCAAATAAAGGAATTCCTTGGTGGGGAGGGCTTGGTTATATTATTGTCAACTGCTGATGAGTTCCAACAATATCATGAAAAAGTCGAGGAAGGTTTACGAGCACGAGGTAGTGTACATTCCAGTTCTACGGGCCAGTTACAGAGTATCATATGTCAGGTCCGTCAGTCAGATTGCTCTTTGTGATATCTGCTTCTACGTCATTTACAATGCATTCAAAAAAGCACATCATTTCGATGTTGATTTGGTTTTCGCATGTTTTTCTATTTCATCTAATTCATGTTTGTTATAATTACAATAATGAACTTATCATAATTTGTAATTTAGAGTTAAATTAAAATAAATAATGCGAATGTATACACTCCATTACGGAGTACTTCGTACTACGGAGTACGTAGACCATTGCATCAGTTTGGTTTGTTTGCCTCCGAAAGGCTACTGAAGCCTTCATGCATAGTACAGAACGTCCAACTACTACAATGATTTGCCACCTTCGAATCAACCTATGATCAAAGCACATCCCAAGAATGCACATTTGTGACTAATTCTGTTAAAGCTATCAACTATTCTTATTACCAACTGCTCATGCCTCTTGGACAGTGATTTCCTTTTCTTGTGTGGCCTGGAAACTAATTACATTTAACTGAAGCAAAACCATATTATCTTGTTCCATCAATAAATCTTTATTTTGAGGAGTGGCAAGATGCCCACCGCGCCTAAGCAACGGAAAATAGCAATTGTTGGCAGTCGCTCTGTTGGTATGACATTGAACCCACTCTGAGCACATTGTTCAGCTTGTTGGCCTTATCAATCTGTCTACTTATCACTGATGCATTGCACTAGGTAAATCTTCTCTCACAGTTCGCTTTGTCGAGCATCATTTTGTAGAAAGCTACTATCCGACAATTGAGAACACATTCAGCCGAATCATTAAACATAATGGACAAGATTTCGCAACTGAAATCGTCGACACGGCTGGCCAAGTAAGGAAACATTTGAGGAGATTGTGATTGGGAATAAAAGCTAACTCTTCAATAGGATGAATACAGCATCCTAAATTCTAAGCACTTCATTGGAATTCACGGATACATCATTGCCTATTCAGTGGCTTCACGTCAATCTTTTGATATGGTCCGAGTCATTCGGGACAAGATACTAAATCATCTTGTGAGCACTATGCCACGACGTTCATGAAGTCTTTCTCACTTGGATACTGAGACACATTTTTCCAGGGAGCAGACTACGTGCCTCTCGTGATTGTCGGGAACAAAAGTGACCTTAAGACCGAACAGCGGCAGGTTTCTTTGGATGAAGGCCGGCAATTAGGGGAAGAATTCCAATGCGCGTTTACTGAAGCTAGCGCTCGCCTTGGCTACAACGTCGACAAGACCTTTGACCTAATGGTCGGCGAAATTGAAAAATCACAGAACCCGTCGCAACCGGCAGGCGCCAACAAATGCACTGTTATGTGACATCGAATTCAAGAGGTAAAAAGCACTACGCGGTCCGATAACATGGGGTATGATCTCGATGCGTTCAGACTTCAGACATGACACCTATTGCTACGAGCTAATTACACGGGTCATAGTTCATGTCTTGTCATATATGCCTCAACCACAAAAGGATTCCCGTTGTGTTTCTGGGCTGTATTCTTTCTCTATCTTGTCTACCTTGAGCTATCGCTGGATTCACACCTTCAACTAGCCCCTTAGAGTCAGACATATTGTGAGCGCATAAAATCTGTTGTCAAATATAAATAACTATAGTTTGTGAAGGGTATCCTATGCTATACTAACATGAAGTTCTGCATTAGTTGGTTTAGTGATGCTGATAAAACCCATTAATTAAAGACTCAGTTGAAATTCAAAAATCCTAACGAAACAGCATTGTAATATGATTATATTTTGTATTTATGAGACCTAGAAGAGGAAAAGAAGGAAGATGAGGAATAAGAGATTATTTTATGCTCTTTTTGATGTAGTCTAGCCTCTCATTTAGAGTGTCTACGCTAACGAAGTTCCCGACTACCCCTCCATAGGTTATCTCAAATCAGCAATCCCATTTTAGCTTTTTTCCCCTACCGCCTTCTTCCCTCCCAACATTCAACGCAACTAGGTCACAGTGTTCTTCAGACCTTTTTGCCTTGTTCTTGAGCATATCATCTCTTTCCTCTTTTTCATTTTGCCAGTATGCTCGACATTACTGACTTCGTCACCGACCGTGGTGGAAATCCCAATAAAATTAAAGAGAGCCAGAGGAAACGGTTTGCTCCGGAGAGTGCAGTAGATGAAGTTATTGCTTTATATGAGGAAGCGCGCAGAGGTATTATCGGGCCAGGGAAAGAAGAAGAGCAGAGTATGCTGACACTTCTCTCATCCAGCACGATATGAGGTGGGGCAAATTGGCTCCCAAGTCAATGCTATCCTCAAAGAGATCGGGAAGAAAAAGAAGGTTAGGAAGACGTCATCTTCCCATGTTCACTTAAGCGATGGGGAAACAGGCTAATTGGGTCGGTCGGAGTAGAACAAAGAAGATGCGAACGATCTGATTGAGCAAAAGGCCAACTTGGAGAAGTCCAAGAAAGAGGCGGAGGAACTTGCTATTGAAAAAGAAAGCCAGAGAGACCGGAAGATCCGGACTATTGGAAACTACGTTCACGAATCTGTTCCTGTGAGCAACAACGAGGTATGTCCCCTGTGTACTACTCAATATTACGCGATCCTCATGCTAAAATATGGATGTTAGGATGACAACGTTGTGGTCAAGAAGTGGTCACCTGAAGATGTGGCCGTGGAGAAGCGTGATTGTCTCTCTCATCATGAGGTTCTCACCCGCTTAGATGGATACGACCCAGACCGCGGTGTCAAAATCGTTGGCCATCGTGGCTATTGCTTGACTGGATATGGCCTCTTTCTGAACCTCGCCCTCATAAATTACGGTCTTGAATATCTTTGGTCAAAGGGCTACAAGCCTAACCAGCCGCCTCAATTTATGCTTAGGGACCTAATGGCGAAAACCGCCCAGTTAGAGCAATTTGACGAGGAGCTATACAAGGTCACCGAGAGCGAGGACAAATCAACCGACAAATATCTCATTGCCACTTCTGAGCAGCCGTTGTCGGCATTACATGATGGGGAGTGGCTTCAGGACAAAGATCTTCCGATTAAGTGAGCTAGACTCTGGAGTCATGCGAGTTTATAAGTTAACATTTTTGTAGGTATGCTGGTTACAGTACATGCTACCGGAAAGAAGCAGGTTCTCATGGCAAAGATGCTTGGGGAATTTTCCGTGTTCATCAATTTGAGAAGGTGAGAGATTAACCTGCTATTTTTCTTTATTGCTATCAAGATTCTTACCTAGCCTAGATTGAGCAATTCGTTTTGACTAAACCCGAGAATTCATGGGAAGCTTTCGACGAGATGACGGCTATCTCGGAAGGGTTCTACCAATCCTTGGGTCTTCCTTTCCAAATTGTCTCCATAGTATCGGGTGCTCTCAACAATGCGGCATCCAAGAAATATGACCTGGAGGCTTGGTTTCCTTTCCAAGGCGAGTATAAGGAACTGGTTTCGTGCTCCAATTGCACCGATTATCAAGCAAGAGCTCTGGAGATTCGCTATGGTACCAAGAAAGCTACCGATGTGAAAAAGTCTTATGTGCATGCTCTCAACGCGACGTTATGTGCCACCGAGCGTACGCTTTGCTGTATCCTCGAAAACTATCAGAAAGAGGACGTATGTATAAAGCCAGAATATATTCCCCGTAACAATGCTGACAAGAAATTAGGGTTTTGTGGTCCCGGAGCCTTTGAGAAAATATATTCCCGGAGCCCCCGAATTTCTACCTTTCACTAAAGAGCTTCCCAAGGATACTACTTCACAAAAGGCCAAGGGAAAGCAGGCATCCAAAGCTTCAGGTAGCGCAGAGCAGACCACGAAGAAAATGCAAAATCTTCAGGTGTAAGCGCCCTATGTGAATCGATTTCTCTGTGCATGGTCTTGTGATGTGGGTGGTCATTGTTACAGCATGTACATATTCCTATCTTTTCTGCTTTGTCAAAAAAGAAAAAAAAGAAGAAAAAGAAGAAAAGAAAAAGTCGCTGTATAATCTACTCGAAGTCGACTGGTAAAGTACTCCGTATGTACGGAATTGACACCGCTTGTACAGTAGTAGTATTTGCCCCTCCGAGGAGCTTAAGAGGAAAAAAAAAAAAAAAACCACTAACGCTCCGGGACCCCACTAACCAGATCCCGATGAGTCACTAGTATATGGTACGTACATACTTAATCCGATTTCGGGAGCGAGTCTTGGTACATTGTGGAATTCGACGCCCTTGAACATCCAATTTTCTCAGCTTTTTTTTTTTTTTCCCCAACACTTCATTCAGCTTCATACAGAGGAGCAACGACGATTTGACCATGGCAGCACAAGGCGAATTGGATCTCAATGCTTCACAAAACGTGAACATGTCTAACTCTCCTTCGACCTCATTCCAAACTCCGCCGTCTAGTCATGGGGCGTCTGCCTTACCAGCCCGCACAATCATCCCCCTGGCTAACGCAAAACACTTGAAACCATTTGCCACAGAAGACATCAAGGTCTTGCTTTTGGAAAATGTCAACCAGACCGGGCGAGACATTCTTACCAAGCAAGGATATCAAGTAGAGGTTCTCAAGTCATCGCTCCCGGAGGATCAGCTCATTGAGAAAATTCGGTGCGACTCCTTTCCTCATCTCAAACCATATTCACCATCCATGGCAGTAGCGGGATATAAAACTGACATCATATTTCTAACAAGTGATGTACATGTAATCGGCATTCGGTCAAAGACAAAGCTCACAGCTCGTGTGCTAAAGGAAGCCCGTAATCTCATTGTCGTGGGTTGCTTCTGTATTGGTACAAACCAGGTCGACCTTCAGTACGCAGCGGAACATGGAGTTGCTGTTTTCAATTCCCCGTTCAGCAATTCTCGCAGCGTTGCAGAATTGGTCATAGCGGAGATCATTGCTCTCGCTCGACAGCTTGGCGATCGTTCCAACGAGATGCACAGTGGTACCTGGAATAAAGTCAGTAACAAATGCTGGGAGATCCGAGGGAAAACTCTAGGTAAGCCTTCGGCTATCTTTTTTATAGTGATATATGACTTACACAGGAAGGAATAATTGGCTACGGTCACATCGGCGCCCAGTTATCAGTCTTGGCAGAGGCAATGGGCATGTCCGTTGTCTTCTATGATGTTGTGAATCTGATGGCATTGGGTACCGCTCGCCAGGTACCGACATTGGATGCTCTTCTCGCCGAGTCGGACTTCGTGACATGTCATGTACCTGAGCTTCCTGAGACGAAGAACATGATTGGGCCGCAACAATTTGAACAAATGAAGAATGGGAGCTATCTTATCAACGCCAGCCGGGGTACTGTTGTTGATATCCCCGCATTAATCCACGCCATGCGTTCTGGAAAAGTCGCCGGTGCTGCTCTTGACGTCTATCCAAACGAACCTGCTGGAAATGGTGATTATTTCAACAATGAACTCAATACCTGGGCAGCAGATCTACGATCCCTCAAGAATTTGATTTTGACCCCTCATATTGGAGGAAGCACCGAGGAAGCACAAAGTGCGATTGGTATCGAAGTTGGACAGGCTTTGGTACGTTATGTCAACGAGGGAACAACTTTGGGAGCTGTCAATGTGCCAGAAGTGGCTCTCCGATCACTCACCATGGATGAGCCCAACCATGCCCGAGTAAGTAGACTTCTCCATCCGTGTTCTATCTCGGCTAATGATTGTATAGGTGATCTATATCCATCACAACATTCCAGGAGTTCTGCGAACGGGTACGTTTTTGTGAATGTTTTTAACACCTGGACTTGGCTAACACCATTTTCAGTGAACGAAGTTCTTGGTGACCATAATGTCGATAAACAAATGACTGACAGCAGAGGTGATGTATGCATCCTTTGCTTAAATATCTTAGATGAACTCGGTGGATAACCCATTAATTTTAGGTGGCCTATCTAATGGCCGATATAAGTAGCGTCGATGCCACTACTATCAAGGATCTCTATGAGCGTCTTGAAGGCCTCTCATGTATGGGTGTCCCTGTTTGTCGTGTTTGTACAATTACATGCTAACCTTTAACCCTCTAGCTCGAATCATGACGAGAATCCTGTATTGAGCTTGCAGTGAAAGCACTTATTGCAGCTATATGCCGGCTGCTCACAGTGCTTAATGGTACATGGCAGTTTGTTTCTTGCAAGCAGTCATACCAGTTCAATTCTTCTATTTCTTCTATGTGTTCTTATTAATTCAACAAGGTTATGCATTGGATGGGAAAAGGGGTAAAAGCAAATTGGATGGATGATGCCAATTAGAGATCCCTCAACGGAATAGAAGGCTGTATTTGCATTTTGTATGAAAACAATCGAATGCCGATTGAAAACTAGAAATAAAATTACTCATCCCTATGCTCTTACTAAAGAAGAAGAGCGAGAGCAATGAAAGAGCTGAATCCTTACAATGCTTTTTCGTCTAAAGTACGACTGTGAGAACGATCGTATTTAATTGCATACACAGGAGTTCAGGTGACGAGAGATGAGAACCTTTTCGTTCTTCTAATACCGACGGTATAGCCCTCTATCTATGGCTCTGTCCCCTTTCCTCGGGGCAGGACTTCGGCTTCGTCTCCTTGAATTATAATCCCGGTGGTTATCTCTATCTCTTCTGTTTGCTTGTTCAAATCTGGAATGGCGATAATCAGCACTGGGGCTCGAACTATCGCCATCCTTCTCCCGTACCCGATCACCTATGCCACTATAGCTGGGGACATAAGAGTCCACACTTGTCTCTGGTCGACCACCGAATCGATTCTGATGCATTCTATCCTTTCCGGCTCTGTTGAACTGATTCCCGCCCCATGTTTGGTGGATAGGTAATGGTGGTTTGGGCGGTAAACCGCCGTCTCTCTGTGGTATTTGGAACGGTTGATTTATGCTCTCAGTACCTTGTCTCGCTCGTGTCGAATGAACCTCGTTGCCTCTATTATCATTTGCGCGCCGAAAATGGTTGCCATGGCTTCCGATTGGATTCGACTTGCTAGCGCGTGCAGCACCGGGGATACGGCTATTTCTGCTTTCCGTGCCTGATCTAGCTCCGGGATTTGTCCACCCTCCACTTGGAGCCATACCAATGGACCCACCTGGCGGAGCAGGAGGCATTACCGCTCGTTGCCCACGATTTTTCTTTCTATCAAATTCGTGAGAGTCTTCAAAATACGGCAGCTCGCCAGGACGTGCTGGAAGCGGGTCGCTGAAGAAGTAAGGGTGTTTCAGTGCGTCAATTGCACTTATCCTTTTTCGCCAATCCAGTTTGAGTAGCTCACTGAGCAGTGATAAGGCAGTAGGACTTAGACTATCGCGACATCAGCTAATTTCCATTTATACCTTATTTTTCTTCTTCTTTCTCTTTTTCAATTTATGAAAAAGATGGGTTAGATTGAACATACTCTCTAAACACTTGATGTAGATTCCCTGGTTTGAATCCGAAACTCTTGACACCTTCACAACCTGGAAGTGAACTCCATCCAGGCATATTCTCCTCAGAGGGTGTGCCCACCAGATTGAATATAAGTTGTGCTTGGTTAAGATCGCTATTTCCAGCAAGAATGGGTTTCCCCCTAAACATTTCACCAAAGACGCACCTGTGCTTGTTAGAGGAGAGGCCATTTGAATGTGGATTGGTAAACCTACCCAGCACCCCACATATCAATAGCAGTTGTATAACGCCGAAGTTGGAGGAGAAGCTCTGGAGGACGATACCACCTAGTGACGACGAGAGTCGTATAGTCTCTTCTTGCCTCTCCACCACCCTTACCAGACTGAGGCGGTGGCTCATCATATGGACGTGCAAGCCCGAAATCAGCAATTTGAAGGATACCTCTGTTACTAATAAGTAAGTTTGCAGCTATTCGACCGTCAGCCAGGATTATTCACATAAAAATGCGTTCCACCATACCTTTCATATCACGATGCAAGATACGACTCTGCAATACGTCAGACGAGCCCCTCACGAGCAAGGTTGAAGAAGAATACCTCGTGTAGATATTTAAGCCCTTCGAGGAGCTGTAGCATATAACATTTGACCTGTGGCTCGGTAAAATGCACGGCTGGGTTTTCCAGAAGTCCCGAGAGATCATGCTCCATATACGGAGTAACCATATACATGCTTGGCTTCTTTCGTCCTTCTCCTTGGATAGTTTTAGCAAGACTGTGGAAAAAGTGGAAGGAGAAGAAACACGAAACACACCTTTGCTTCGCTCTACAGCCATCTCTCTGAGCTGGAGAATATTGGGATGTGAGAGCATTTTGAGCAATTTGATTTCACGCAACGCCGTTATTGGAAACTTGGGACACCGATTAATAAAGTGCCATGCCGGGCTAAAGAAGAGAAAGAGAGGGAGTACACAGGGTGATGCTTACACCATCCTTTTCATTATGCATAAGGATCTTTTTCAGAGCAACAACAGAAGCCTCCCTTTTCGACCTTGCCTTATAGACCTCACTGTGAGACTTTCAGTATAGTCCTTTCGCATTCCTTCGCCGGCACCTACCCAAAAGTACCTTCTCCAAGCTTTCCCAAAAGTTCGAAGTCGCGGATACTCGAACATCCATTAAATCGGACGTTACCATTTTGATTTCTCTCAAGGGATGGTGCAGCCATTTTTTCCCTTAACCTCTTTTTTCGCCCCGGTGATCCTTAAGTATACAATCTCCCTTAGATTTCGAGAAGTATAAGGCCCAAGTGACGCTAGGTATGCGTATGGAGGTATGAAGCTGCAGATTTATCGTTAACTGCAGCAATTAATCCGAAGCCCTCCTCGAGGCGAACTCAGTACGTATGACAGTCGCAATACTCGTGGTGGAAAGAAGTAGGCCCCTAAGTAATCAGCGCAAGCTGCGCGTTGCTGCGTGTTGTGATTCCAGAAAATCTTTGGGGATGGGAGGCATGCCAAAATTCCATGAATAATTCGAGTTGGGTGATTAATTCATGTTTTGCTGTATTCTGGAATTATAACGTCTGATCTTGCAACCTATTCAATGATGTTCCTTTGGGTCACATGATCAAATAGAGGGTTCCGATTCCGCCAACCTTTTGCAACTGACAGTTTGATACGAACTTGCATTCTGGAATTTACAATAATCAGAAGCCACAGAACCCAGTCGGTATGTACTTTTAGGAACGCCCTTGAAGATGAACTTGTTTGCTAAAATGAACATTAGATATGGCTGCAAACCACCCGATCCACATCCATCCGGCACGACCGCTCTATCGTTTTACAGCAACTGCTTTGGGTGCCAGCATGTGGTTCTTTGTACGACTCCCAGTCGAGTATCTTTGCCGGAGACTTTGCTGATTTAGAATCTCTTCCGACGTACAGCTAATGTATCGAGCCAAGAAGGATGGACCTGCTTTGTTGGGCTTGAAGCATCCCTGGGACCACTGAAATGCAATTTACATTGCGTTCCCCACGCTCCATGATTCCTTAAGCAGCAAGAATTGAAGACGTATTATTCTAGTTATCCTATCTATAACTCAATGGGCATCTATAGTTTCATGGAGCTTCATGCTCTATATCCAACTGATTATTTTATCTACTTCGGGACTGCGGATAGCCACGAGGACATCAATAATTTAGTAGAGAGCACATATCTGTGTAGACGAATTACTATTTGTATTCAATTTGGTTGTTATATCAATGCCATTTCATATCGAATGTAGGTTTATTTGACATAAACCGCTTTCATATCAACATATCTTCGAGGAGCACTTTATATTGACGGCGCCGCTTGTGGTGTCCTGGTCGCAGCAGCATATACACCTTTCCCAAAACGCGGGCAAAGCGAGGGAAAAGCTGTACTTCTGCTGTCCAGGACAGTAAAAAGCTCCCAATTGCCAAAACAAGTAACCATATCTTAAAGTTGCCTGACAAAAATGTCAGTTGCATGACCCGAACGACCAATTTTGGCGGCCCCCAGAGCATACTGCTCGAAAGGCACATATCCACAAGTATCGTGAAGAGGAATGGTGCTAGTATTTGTTAGTGAAAGTCAGACGAATATTAAAGTTACTACCAACCGTTTGAACTCATTGGCTCTCGAAAAGGTGGCCCGACACTGAGGACCACACTTATTAAGACATATTGGAAACATGAAAACAAAAATAATGCAGTGTTTTCGGAGTTTTCAATATTGCTCTTCTCTAAGTCCAGACGAGGGGGTTCGAACCTGTGATAAGAATTAGACCGCATGTTATGACGTTCAAGAGAACTGTACCAACCATGGCTGTATTTTGACTATTTTATAGATTGTAAACTGAGCCAAGACACATATCATGATTTGCCCGAGTAATGGTGTTAAGACCTTTCGTGAAACGAGGTCCGCAGTTGGCCGCTTCCTAGACAACCCAGGAGCAGGACCTGTCCAGCCCACTTTTGGAGACATGTCAATTCATAAACTGCGCTGGGGCATGGTAGGTGTTGAACTTACTGAATATCGCAATAGGCAATATAAGAGCCAAATCAATGAAAAGAAACTGAGAATGTTAGAAATTGGAGTTTGTATATTTCTCCGACGTACGCACCTGAAAGTCACCAAGATTTGATGCTGATGTGTACAAGAAGCTGACAGAAGAAAACTGAATCGCTGAATAGAGGCTCATGTATTTGAAGCAGCAAAAACTGGTTACCAAAGCAGCTCGACCCTCCCTGCACAGTATTAGCCATGGATATTGACGGGGATAGATTTGTAGAAGTACTTAATCAAAGCTGGGACACAGGAGATTTCAAAATGACGGCTTGTGAATGGTGCAGCTACAGATGCTTCAGCATCAGACAAAGATATACCAACATCTGCAGCTTTCAATGCACCACAGTCATTTGCACCATCACCACAGAAACCACAACAGTAATCAAGTGACTGGAGCTTTTCTACAAGCTCATGTTTCTCATCAGGTGACATGCGAGCAAACACTTTTCCACGTACAAGTACCTGTAATCCACATTAGAAAGTGCGATATCGAGAGACTAATTCATTATTGCATACCCTTTTGAGCACTAGCTCATCGCCAAAGTCCACCAGCCATCGGAATACATCTCCACTGACTGCAAGCGAATATTTGTGCAAATTACAGACATTACCAGGTACAGATAGATCAACAACCGTTGGATCTTGCAGAGGCTTGTTCCAGCTGTTAGTCGATGGCTTTCAAGGGCAGCTAGAAGACATACCATAAGTGTATTCCCATCAAGTTTATGGGCCGAATCGTCGACATTTTCCCAAGAGAGACAAGCTCCCGGGTCATTGTAATGACCTGCTTATTGGGAAGTTAGAATGTAAGAAATCAATAGGTGCTGTAACCAACCTTCTGCGAAATGTGGTATAAAACATGGTTCATCTGGGCCTATCAAGCCACACTCGCGAGCAACCGAGACTGCAGTCAAGATATTGTCCCCTGTACACATGATATTCCGTATCCCTGCTTGATTCAGTTCTGTTATCACATCGGTAGTTTCTGGTTTCAATTTATTCTCAAATATGATGAAACCAGTGAATTTCAGATCACATTCTGCATCTGCACGTGTCATCTTTTGAACTTTCATCCAGCTAAGTTTCTGATCATATTTGGCAGCGCAGGCAATGACACGATATCCCTTGTGAGTGTATTGACTCAGGCGATCTTCGTAATCCACCGGTACTGGAGCTCCTGTTAGTTATATTGGATTTCTACTGGGTCCACTTCCACTGACAGCTTTCAGGGCGGCAAATAGCTTTGATGCTTTCAGGGGCGCCTTTCACATAAAAGCTTGCACCAGCATCGCCGAATTGTCTGACTATTACACTTGCGCGGCGAAGTTGCGGAAGAAATTCAAAATTCCGCAATACTCCAAGCTCTATTGATGGCTGAAGATAGAAGCCATAGTTAGCTCTCAAGATTCAGGTACAACGCAAACTTGGTATGAGGAAGACAAAGAGTAACTCACATCCGAGGCTTCTACTTCAGGGTTAGTGATATGGGCTGCTGGGATAGGTGGCTTTGCTATGGACGGCATGATAGTGTCGTATTTAGAACCTGGCTGCTCAGACACACGACCGCCGCCTTCTTCATATGACCATCCAGTGAATTGAAACATTTTCACGTCAAGAGGATCGCCTAACAATTCATCGTCCACAACACGCAAGGAATGGCACGTAGCCATGGTATAGATTATACTTTGGCGCTTCTCGAGATCTTGGGAGTTATCTGCGGATTTCAAGAATGTAAAACACCCAGGCATCGGCTCAGATAAAAGTTCCGACAATCTGAGCACGATACGTTAGCATGTACTTGTATTAATATTCCAATGAAATCAACCTCATGTCACGATTCACAGTCCGCACTCCCAATACGTCCAATCCGTCTTCGGTAAGTGTTCCCGTTTTATCAAAACAGATAGCATCCAACTTGCCCCCCACATTTACCCTGAATATGTTTTAGCGTAGATAGACTAGATCAAACCATGCTATTGGCTCACCTTTGCGGACTGATGCAAAAAATTTTATGTTTCTTAAGTCTTGAAAGGGCAAAATTTGTACCTATGGTCAGCGTAGCTGGTAGAGCTGGTGGCACAACAATAGTGATCAAATCAAGCGCCCTAACAATTATCAAATGCCAGGATAGCTTTCGCGTCAACGGTCAGCTAAATGAGCAAGTGATATCAGTTATATTGGCCTTACCCCGAGTCTAAGGAAGTTGGCAAACGACGCTGCGAAGCCCAAAACTGCGACGAAAGCCATCACAGATATATACCGAAAGGAGTCTCGGTAGAACTTGAAACCCGATGGCTTTGGAAAAAGCATGGAGCGGACTAGCGCGCCTTTAGTTGTTAGGAAACCGGTTCTTACCACAATCGCCAGTGCAATGCCTTCATCATCCTCGACATTTTGCGGCCGACGGGCCCGAATAACCTTGGTTCCACTAAAAAGGAAATGTTTTGCAACATCAGGGTGAACTGATGGAGCACTTAGATCAAGATAGTTGAGCGCATCGTCTGTCAAAGGAGACTTTGATACAGGAACAGATTCACCTTGCATTTGGTCAGAACCCTATATTACCAATGAAATGAATGGTGACACAAACCAGTGAGCATGCTTTCATTCACAATGCAGTCTCCAGATAATAGAAGACAGTCACAAGGGACTTCATTCAAGGATGGGTCGGAAAACTCAAAAACATCCCCAGGAACTAGCTCTTGAGATGGGACAGATCTCCCTAGGCCATTTGTTAAAGAAAAGGAATAGAATAAAAATAAAGGGGCAGGAGGGGGACCACAACTTACAAAACCCATTTCTTAATACACGCACATCACATTCAAATAATGACATCTCTCTGAGCCGGCGCATTGTCTGTCTTCTGTGAGCAATCATGATGCACACAGCTTCTTGCAATTTAGAATATGCATACTGATTTTGTTTCGATCACAGTAGCACTGATGCTGAAGGCCGATATGAGGAATATACAAACAGCATAGTAGTAATATTCGTCCAGCGACCAAAGAACAAGACTGGCGACCTGAAATATATAAAATGGATGAAAGGCCTTATTTATTTGTGAGAACCAATCTATAGGAAAGGGATTTCTAAAACAAAGCACTTACTTCATCAATCAAGAGCTGAGGCACTGACTTTTGCTTGATATCCACAATGTTGGGGCCAAATATTTGTTCTCGACTGTCGCGATCATCAGCGTCTAACCCGCCTCGCATCATTCTCACATTCTCCCATGTTTGATCCTTCCAGCCATTAAGCAAGCAAAATTTATCTTCTAGAGGGTGGTAGAAGAACCGGAGATATCTGTAGTCGATATATCGTAAAGAAGAAATAGCCGGGTCGTTGTCTTCGTCATACAAATAGCATTGGGTGTCAGCAAAGACAGTAGAAATAGGACGACCGTACAAATGACTGGAAACACCGTGAGTGGCAAATTGATTCCACTGGTCCTGCGCATGATCAGCCAAAAGGTAGACAAGGTTATCTGCATGCGTAAACGCACTTCAACTGCGATCCACTGGCATTTGCGAAGTGGTGTTGGTTTGCCAACCAGCCGTACTCTCAGTCTCGGTAACCATCGAAATAGCAGATAGGCGAATCCAAAAGTGAGAATGCAGAAAGTCACGTAAACTATAAAGCCACAAGTGCTAGTAGTGAATCCAGCGAAAACAACAGTTAGGTCCTCTGATGCGATATAGATCTTCTGGTTAAGCCTGGAATCAGACATTTTATCTCGGAAATGTGAACTATTAGAAACGCGTCGCGAAAGGAGAGGTTCCTCAACTGAGGCTCTGGAAAAGGAAGGTCTTTTGGACCCGAGCGAGGATCTGGCTGACTCTAAGTTCACTTCATCAACACCATTCATGGATGATAAGTCCTCGACGTCGCTTTCAGCATCTAATGCCTCTGCGTTCGGCCATTGTACGAAATCTTCCTCTTCTTGAAAATAGGTAAAGCTGACTGTAGAATCTTTTCGATTCCGACGATGAGAGAAGGAAGCGATACTTGATGGAATACTCTCGGAAATTGGCCCATCGAAAACCTGTAGTATAGTAAGGTTTAACCATATATCTTCACCAAGAAATGCTGTGGAGTTGACAACCAACCTCATTGCGAGCCATTTCTACGTCTGAAAAAAGGCTAATGTAGTATTAGCTGAGCCCTTCATTCAGTGCAATTGGTTTGCTTCTATTAACCTGCTTCTCATAGAATCACGCCGGTAGTCAACCTTGAATGCTGAGGTCCCGGCCGAATCGTTTCCTGTCGGCCATGGTTCATTATCATCCATCGCGTTGTACCTCGAGATATGTAGACCTGACGGGATGTTTGAAGTAGTCAGCTATGAGAATAACTACCAATATAGGCTTTATTAGTGGATAGGCGTTTGTTTTGATAAAGAATATATAGAAGTTCAAGGAAGATAAGTAGTTACATGCGGGTAAAATGCGCGTAGATCTACGAAGTAGAGCTTATCGCTGGAGTTCTGACTAAAGTCACATGATTTGATTGTCTGTAATGTCTGAACAGCCACGAAGTACTTCATACTTGTTGTGAAGTCTGCTGTTTCTCGAATAATGAACAGAATAAATAAATTACCGACATTATAGTAGTTTCAACTATGTA